CTCTTACTACCTGACCATGAAATCAGTCTCATGTTTTAGGAGCTGAAACCTGTCAACGAGGCTAATCTATACTGAACAGCAAAAGAAACGCAAGTTTCGAAAAAAATGAAATCTCATAAAAGTAAGCGTTCATGTTTATGTCTTCTATTTAAAAACTTGACAAAAACAGTTGCGTTTCTTTTGCTTTTCAGTATATTACAAGCATCTGCAGGCATTGCTGATCCCCTCAGTGTCTTCAGTGAGTGAGTGAAAATGATAGGTATGTGCAACAGTATCCGGGTTATATCAGGGAGCATCAGCTTAAAGTGGGAGCAAAAAGCCAAAGTGATACCGATCTCAGACTGGACTGGACTACTTTGACGAGTGAGTGAATTTAATTTTACACAGCACTCAGTAATATTCCAATTATATATGGCATTGGTCTGTAAATAATCCAGTCTTGGACCAGACAATCCAGTGATCAACATCATGTGCATCGATCTACGCAATTGGGATACGATGACATGTGTCAACCATGTCAGTGAGCCTGATCACCGATCCCATCGCCTCTTAAGACAAGCATAGTTTACTGAAGATCAAGTCTAACAAAAAAGACAGGTAGTTGCAAACTTAACACAGACTCGGTTGTGGTATTCAAAAGAATTTATTACATACATTATAGGCATGATAAATACACCATCCATTGCTTGAAATATTAACACGACGGCATCACCTGACAATACAACATTATGCAAAAAGTTAAAGGACACAAGGAGATGGCTGCCTGAACAGGTGGAGAGACTGGTGACCTTGAAAAGAACACGACACAATACCAATCTGCATGTCTATAATGAAGCAAAGTAAATAAGAAATATGCTTCCATAATGTGTAACACTGAGGTGAATGTGGCATGTGAAGGACATGAACCTTTCTTCACAGTTTGAAATAACCTTCAAGAGCATTGAATCTAACCACAAATTAACTGAACATGGTGTGCACGAAAATAAATAAAACATAATGTCATGGACGGAATCAGAACAGCAAACAACGATGCCTCTGAAATGATGGCAAACTCAGCAATCTTGTTAAACAAGAATTTGTTGATATCACAACTAATCACAATAGCAAATTTAAAATTTTAACTCTCCATCTTATGAGAATTTTCCGTTTTAAATGCACAATACTTACCTATATTATTAGCATCAACAAATTTTTAATGAACAGTTCGATGGAATGACTTGTGACCTTATATTTACAGTCTTTAACTGTGGACGCAATATGATATTACTGAAGATCAATTCTAACCCGGATCTTCACCGGTCGCCTGAAATAATGCATAAACTCTCATCAATAGACTAAATAAAGACTAGCTTGGAAATAAAAAACAAATGTATAAAACATTCCCTAACACACTGAACATCTCTCTTCCTGCCCATCCCTAAAAAAATAACTTCAAAATAAAACGGACAAATCTTCTCTTAGTCTGCAGGGCAGTGTGTAGAGATTTCAGTCATCCTGGGTGTTGAACATTACTTGTGTAACATACTGGAAGATCTAGTGACATGATTGTAACAAGCATGAATGTAATATTGATGAAATCCATTTGAATGCAGTTACTGATGCTCATATACTGTATCCAATTTGTTTTTCAAGCATTAAGTGAGTCAGATTACTGTTAAACGCTGCATCAACAATCTTGCAACCAATTGTGTCAATTTGTCAGCATCTACCATCAATGATGAGGACTGATGTATAAAAACTGTGTTTTCTTTCCTTCTAAACTATTCGGCCTTACTAATTGTAGTTTTATGCCAAATGAAAAGTGAAAATATCACACAACACCAAATTAATATTTTCACTTCCACAACCCAAACCAATGGTTAGCAAAAACCAATAAACTTAAAAACCACATGTGCTTTGCATGATGTTTAATGATAGTCCCAGATTCCACCTGTATGATAGTGACCTGTAAACAGATAAGTCTGGACCAGACAATCCAGTGATTGATATTCTGAGCAACAACCATGTTGTCAGACTACAATATCACAGATATCAACCAATACACTGGGAATGACCACCCAAGACGACCATTAGGGTGTGTCTGTCTAGAACATGTGCTGGATGGCTGAGTAATTATGTACATAAATATCACAACATTCATAATATCACAAATGCCCGATATAAACACCATATACAAGAATATTGTTACTGGAATGAGAACTGGCTAGGATTCTACAATGTTGACAACAATGTGTTTCCTCAGGGAGGGGGATGAGGTACGGTAAGATTGGTCTTTAGACTGTATCATATTTTGCTGCCCCTCCCCCTAATTTTTTGCCACATTTTTTTTATGACACACGCTTAGGCCAGACCAATTTTATTTCTTGTTTTAAGGATTTTTGTCCTCAGAAAACCTAAAGGCAGGAGGGAAAAGAAATAATAAAAAAATCACCAGTCAAAGCAAAAACCCACTTGAGTTTCCATGTTAACTCTTTTGGTTTGTTTATGTCAACTAAAAAAATAAGTTGAGTGAGTTTAGGCTTCACACTGATTTCAAGAGTTATTCACTTATATCACATTAACATTAGGATTTTATTTTTCAAGCGGGAAAAATACATGTTTTTTCTTTCTTACTCTTAAAAAATATGACTGGTGGATCCTTAAAACAAGAAATATAATTGGTCTGGCTTTATATCATTAAGTTCATATGACCTGAGAAGGTTCTTATCCGACATCATCCTTTTGTTTGGACATCTTGACCAACTGGGCCAAGCTTGTCTTCAATCAAAACATTTGTAAACAACAGAACACAGAGAACCTTAGGCAACAAACCTGGCTAAAAGCCAGCCCAATACGACACCCTGTCGATAATTTGGAAGCCTCACAGAACCTAATGCCGTTTCCATGGCAGTTGGATACAGGCACTTGCATGATAAAGTCTTATACCAATAAGCACATACAATATTATTACATTTTAACACACCAGTAGAAGATACAACTGACAAAATATTCTTAGTACATCATCATCAGCTGTCTTATCTGCCAGCTTTCTGGCATTAAAGACCAATAATGGAAACTTTGTACTATCTAACCTTTAGGCCAGATTTTTTGTATTCAACAATATAAAAATACTCGACAGTGTGCTTCAATTAGTATAACAAGGGGTCATACGGGAAGTGATTTCAAGACATATCTGGGAATTGTACATTCATTCTGAATTGTGTGATTTTGGTGAAGATTTCACAGACATTTATATATGTAATTTGCAAGAACCTCTGATCTGTATGTAGATATACCTGTCCAGCAATTATCCATACTTAATATTTCATGGGCTTCTACACATCCTTTCATAAATATGGTATCTGTTGTACAGAGACACATTAATCATCAAACTGCTTGGCATGGTGTTCTAAATATGAAGCACAACAAACAGCATGGTAAGAAATACAGTAACATGCCTTCAACTTGCAGAAAAATGCCCAAAGAACACAGCTGACTATTTTTATTTGTGAAAAAAATAAATTAACTATTGACCATCTGTTGGAAGAAATATTTGAGCTCCAATAAATTAAAAATATATATGCTGATCTTAAACACAGGGATAGTTGGGAAGTTTGTTACAAGCTGGACAGCACCACACACATTAACTACCACACAGTGCACCACATAGTGAACCGATGTATTCACTCATGCTGGAGGGGCGTTGGGGTGGCCTAGTGGTTAAAGCGTTCGCTCGTCACGCCGGTTTGATTCCCCACATGGGTACAATGTGTTAAGTCCATTTCTGTTGTCCCTCGCCGTGATATTATTGGAATATTGCTAAAAGCAGCGTAAAACCATACTCACTCACTCATGCTGGAGGTACAGTACTGCACATGAAACTTCGAAACTTCTGTCGTAACTCTATAGTTTACCACAGGCTTACGAATGTTTTAATGCTACGGACGCTTTGTGAATCAGGGTCCTGGTGATGAAAATTATCAGGGCTTTTCAAAATGCCTGAGAACAAGAGACACCCAAGGTCAAATGTAAACAATCTGGGGAAGAATTGGACATTGACTCACTGACCTGAAGCAACCCTGCCTGTCATGGCACAATACTACCATGCACTGTTGAAAGATAAAATAGAAATATATCTTATGTCTCTACAGACATCCCCGGACATGACGCAATATCCCTTCCAAAAACACTTCCTGTGATCAGGATTTTTAATGATCCACTGATAGAAATTCCATAGCAATGTAGCCTTGTACACACACTTGAACCTATTTCATTGTTGGGGTGGTGGGATAGCCTAGTGGTTAAAGCGTTCGCTCATCACGCTGAAGACACAGGTTCAATTCCCCACATGGGTACATTGTGTGAAGCTGTGATATTGCTGGAATAATGCTAAAAGTGGCGTAAAACAATACTCACTCACTATTTCATTGGGAATTCAAGACTGGTCATTCTCTTTAGATGTTTCATATTTACAAGAGTTCCACCACTTCCTTAATCATACACAAATAACCAAATCTCCACTAACCAGCCATGCATGAATTCAGTAAATCAGTTAGCCAACATAAATCATTTATGTAATGAGTAGTCTTAATTATGTCCTGAACTCAACCTATAAACTTGGTATCATAATCTGATAAATATGCAGGTCTCAGTAACAGGAAATACATTAAACCCCATACATACAATGATTGTTTGATCAATAAATTATTGTCTGATGCTTCTGTTTAGATAGGGGTGTGTCTACAGACATGCCTGGACATCATTTGGCACTAGATGATAACTGGGGCGGTTCACTCAAGTCAAACATTGAATAATCCTGTCAATAAAATATATTTGTTGAGTAATAATATGTCTTAACCATAGATTAAGAAAAGAATGATATTGTACAGCAAAGAGAGATTACCTCCCTTTGTTTACTTTCATAATCATAGGAAACTGGAATAAATTATATCTAGTTAATATAATCATATTCATACTTTTGTTTGTTACTTATACAATACAGAAACATATTCAACTAATGATTTCCATGCAACATTTTTATTATTCCAGGACATGAAGCTCTTGAAAATTACACCTCCTCCAGTGGATTGGTCACCTCCTTCAACAAGCATCTTGATGGCGTACATGAAACAGATTGTCACATATCACAGCTGGTAATGGCCACGAGGTATAGAAGACTGTTAGTTCCACAACACAGAGACACCACAGAGCTATACAATGGTGCAAGGTTTCATCTGTTCTGTAGACTGTTGCTGGGGTGGCTTGTGGAGGCTTTCCTTGGACTTGAGCCACCTGCAATGTAAGGGAGGCTACTCTTACAACACTGCAGCAGGACTATCGTCCGTTTGGCTCAAAAGCGGACCGATGAATTGCAATCTAACTCGAAAACTTATAAACATAAAATACTCAATGAAGCACTGATCATAATGAAAACGTCAGACCAATTTTGAGAGGTGTTTAAGGGAGGTTTAACAAACTATCATTAAAATATCGACACAGTTCACTATTTGTTACGAGAGGAGGAGTGCAGAGAAAGGGACAGCCGGGTGTGCAAGAAAGGATGGAGATGGCACAGCACAGGTTAATGAATCAATAACTTTGTCGGCACTTGTGCACGTGCTTCTCTAACACCTGGCTGTCCCTTTCTGCAAATAGTGAACTGTGTCAATATTTTAATGATAGTTTGTAAACAACTTTTTTAATTTTAGGACATAACTTCTGCAAACAAATAACAGAGTTGGTCTGATATTTTGATTATGATCAGCGTTTCATTGAGTATGTTATGTATATTAGTTTTTGAGTTAGATTGCAATTCATCGGGCCGCTTTTGAGCCAAACGCACTATATGTGTTCAGACCAACATACTTTCCTGTCTTCTAGATAACCTAGAAGTACGCCAAGGGAGGAGAGAAAATGTTACACAGATAATGTTAGAGTTCATCTGAGGCCTGAAACAAAGGTCTTGTGAAGTAAATGTTTTCGTAACAATATGACAAATGTTTTATAAAGACATACTTTCAACCAAAGAGAGCTGAGAGCCTTGAAAAGATTTTTTCAAGAGAAATATGCCCTTGTAAAATGTAAATCAGATACATTTGTAACCTCAAGAGAGAATATGGAATTAATGATGATCCTCTTTAATTGACTAAATGTACTGTACTTAATATTTAAGATCCACTCTAACTGTGAGCACTGGTATGACCAAAGGACACAACTGAACAGCACTGATAGCGTATTGCCTTTTGGTCCACTGGGGTATGGTGAGTGAGTGAGTGAGTGAGTTAAAATTTAAAGTCACATTGGCAATATTTCAGCCATATTGTGACTAAAACTAGTTCTAAATTCATAATACATACATATAATATATAAAACCCTGTCAACGAAGGACAGTAAAATTACTAGATTATCACAAAATGAGTTAAAACTAGCTAGCATATATCTTTAAAAGTAGAAAACTATTTTTGGACAATACAATGTAAAAATGGGCTATATATCGCCAGCAACTGAAGGCTGATCACCATGCTAGGGACCATGGGGACTTACAGTACTTTGGCTACCTGCATGGACCCTAGCTGGATTTACACCATCCCTTCAGCCACTGGTGATTGTAGTGAAATTTAGCCATTATTTAAAACAACAATTATTCTTCGATTAAAATATTTTTGTAGGTCGAAATTGACTTTGAAAGTTGTGGGACTTACATACCCTCTCAGGAGGCACTGGGGTATGGTGACTATGAACAACTGATTAAAGGATTATAACCAGTGCTAATCTGGGATTTAAACCCATGACCAGTAGATCCTGGTAAGGTCAAGGGATATAACTCTGCACAGTACTCCTACGTGATGGCCCCCTTGACAACCAGGAACCAATATATGCACAACCAGGAACCACACATATATGCACGCGTGCACACACACACACACACACACACACACACACACACACACACACACACACACACAAGATATCACTTGTAAGTGAATGATACATAAATGAAATCAACTAAAACAAGAACAGGTTTTTGTAATAAAAACAACATTGTGTTGAGAGAAGGTGGTGAGACTGGTACATAGTACAATAAATAAATAAAGGATTACTAATTTCAAAATAATGTCATTCAGTTAGGAAGCAAAAGAGTAATTCATACATTTAGAAATATTGTAGTTCTGTTAACGAAAGATATTCAACCAGAGGCAAGATACACTGATTTAATTACATGGAGTTTGTTTTAATGTATTGTCGAATTGGTTCCTTTGTTCATAATATTTGAGGATGTCACCTCCCTGGAAAGAAAATGCTGAACCAAACATCTCTGATTCCATCTGAGATCAGGTCCTGATGGTTTACTGAAAAGCTTTGTTCCGCATATGTAGGATGTTGCTAACTTGGTTGCCTTCTTCCGAAGATGACAATATTTTAGCCTGATTCAGATCTATGGCAGGTCTGTAATCAATCCAGTGATCAACATCATGAGCATCGATCTACACAAATGGTATACGATGACATGTGTCAACCAAGTCAGCAACCCTGACCACCCGATCCGGTTAGTCGGCTCTTACGCCAAGCATGGGTTACTGAAGACCAACTCTACTCAGATCTTGATGGGTAACCTAACAATGGATACAGGTAACAAGAGGTACTGATGTCATATTGTCCTGACTGTACTACCCAAACATGGGCTCCAGAAGGACATTTCTGAATAGAATTCCCAACCAGAGTTTGAGAAATGCCACAGATCTGAGAATCTACCATGCATATTGGTCTTAAAAGTGTGTGTTTACAGAACCAAGGATTAGGGACCATGTACACAAAGACAGAAGGATTCAGCAGTGAGGACAGCCATGTCTCCATACTCACCTGCATACATCCAGTGACAACTATCATGCTAGGAAACAAACAGGTTGGAATACATAAAGCAAACTTCACGGTAGAAAGCCTTATCTCAACCAGTCTAAGTAAACTTAGTCTCAGTATTATTCATTACACAGCTATACTGAGTCTAACAAACCCTAGTAGAAGGTTGCGTCAGCTAACCTTTGAGCGACCTATGACCGTCCAATCAAATGCGAGATGGCTGAACGGATTTAACCAATCAGACAACGGCTACTGTTTAGGGTTTGCAGGACTTACAAAATTCCCCGGTCACTGATACTGATCTCTCAACAAACGAAAATCTGCATAAAACACAGATATTTGACCTGCAGTATATACGCTTTCTGATGACATGGTTACCATCAGCTAATATTTCTGCAAGCTGACATCCTTGAATATTGACAAAACGCCTATTTCAGCAACTGTTTACTCACTGTTGTGGCGTCCTCCATGTGCATCACTCGGAAGTGCGATCGTACGGAAAATAGCATTCGGAATCGTTCGGGTATAAACTTTTTCGAGGTAAAAGTTCAAAAGGTATGTGCGAATGTTAACTTTCGCGATTTGGTAAGCTGTGTTCTGATTGGTCGATTGAAAAGGTTAGCTGACGCGACCTTCTAATAGGTTTTTTTTAGACTCAGTATAAGCAGTGTAACGAATAATACTGAGCTTAAGTTTACTTAGACAGTATCTCCACCTACTTTTCATACATATATATACATGACCAATATATTTATTTATAATCATGTTTTCAGATTTTCTAGTTTGATACACTCAGCAATATTCCAACTATATTTTCTAGTTTGATACACCATGTGACAAAATACAAAAGAATACCACACATGTGGGGTGACTGAAAGGTTCTGTGTAAATGTCGTCACCAAAGTCACCAAAGGTGTTTTGTTCCACCAAGACAATGCACTGTGCACATGTCTGTTGTTGCCATGGCGACAATGCATGAATGTGGCTTGAAATCTTTGAGCATCCTCCATATTCGCCATATTTGGAACTATCAGGTCCCACCTGTTCACATACTCGTACTGGTGTGCATTTTGCAAATGATGATGACATAATTTCTTCTGCTGTGTTTGACTTTGTACACAAGCAGGAAGAAACATTTTACATTCAGGATATGAAGGCATCCAGTAATAGTTGACCTCAGAAGGGTTTGGTTGAAAACTAAAAATTAGCAACCACCAAAGCCAACACAACTAACAGCGTTAGTACCTACGCCGAAATGTCACACTCATTGCAATAAAGAAGTTGACTATCCATAGAACTTGGTTTTCCTTTAAGATATTTCATGTTTCCAAACACTGAAGTCAAATGTTACATAATAAAATGTTACAGTCATTGCTTTTACCAAACTTTTACCAACTGGAAGCTTGTGTCCAGTTAGAATGCTAGGTTAGCACTTCAGAATACATATTCTTTCTAGTTTTTTTCCATGTTTCTCTCCTGATAACAAAACGTTTTTTCCATGAGTTTCAGGAACAAATTCCAGTCATTCTACTCAGAGATCACAAAATTATCAACATGAGTGAGTGAGTTTAGTTTTACGCTGCACTCAGCAATATTCCAGCTATATGGCGGCGGTCTGTAAATAATCGAGTCTGGACCAGACAATCCAGTGATCAACATGAGCATCAATATACTCAATTGGGATAACGATGACATGTGTCAACCAAGTCAGCGAGCCTGACTACCCAATCAAGTTAGTCGCCTCTTATGACAAGCATGGGTTACTGAAGATCAATTCTAACCCGGATCTTCACAACATTAAGCTTAATATGTTGAAAGCATGTCCTATGTAAAAAAATAACATAAAATATTTAGTTTTCTAGTTCTATATTCAACACATCTAAAGCTTTTGCCTGCAGTCAGATAATCCAGATAGACCTGACCATGTACATTTTTCTAAAAGAAATAAAGTTAAACATTAAGATTTTGTATGGAACACACAGAGGATTGTATCCCATTTACTTCAGGTAACTTACCAGTTTTCCCTGCCGAACTTAGGACGGGGCCCTGACTCAGAATATTGGGGTTGAGGAGGGTTCTTGGAGATGGAACTTCTACTGGAGCCAGATGAGGGACGCTTCAAGTTATCAGGGCCTGGGGTTCGTGGAATGCGAGGGCGAGAACCAAAAGCACTTGCATACTCATTGACACTGAAAATAACATTGACATTTCATCCAACAGTTATCTCCCTTGACAATTTTCTCTGGCTACCTTCAGAGTTGTTACCTGCAACCTCTTTCAATGAGGTGAGGTGAAATTGGGTTTAACGTCGTGCTTGAGAATATTTCGCTCATATGACGTGCATGCGTGTGTATGTGTATGTGTGGCAGCTTGTACTAGCCCAGACTTAAGCTGGTTTTATAGTGCTAGCCCACTGAGATACCATGCCGCAGTGAAGCATGAATACCCCACTCAGACACATTAAACTGACTTCGAGCCGACCAGTCCTTGTTGTACCCATTAATGCCGAGCGCCAGGCAGTGACCAACAAGTATCATATTTTAATGTCTTTTGGAATGACGCGGTCGGGGATCAAACCCGCAACCTTCCGCACTCCGGGTGGACGCTCTAACCACTACACCACGGAGACGGTCCTCCTTCAATGAGTCTTCCGTAGCCAAACGTTTGATATTTAATGTCATGGTGACATTAAAGATAAAACAATTCTATACAATATACTGACAGAAGAAGTACAAATTATATGGATTGACAATTTCTTATTGCAGCAGACGTGGTTTTGGTGTAGATGCTTATACTGTTATCTAGGTCTGAACGTCTCCTCTATTGCAATAAGCTGTCAATCCATAAAATTAGTTCCTCTTCATCATACCAGCTTCTAAATGACACTAAAAGAATTCATGTTGACAGAAACTAAAAAGGTGACAGCCTTTGAGAGAAGCAAGGGCTTGGAACAATACATCATTGAAAGAAGAGAACTAGTTGTTATTTAGGAAACACACTGACAGATCAGACTTCTTTTGTGGTTATGACCTGTTCTTTTGAACACAGCTGTAATCAGTATCTTTTCAATAAAGCATCATAATGTTCCAGTAATTTTATTCATCAGTACATTATAAGTTGTTCACTTGTCACGAGGGGCATGGGTTGATGTACCCTCGATGTTTGTTTATGTTCCCTGAGCCCATAAACAAACATCGAGGGTAGATCAACCCATGGGCCCCAAGGGACCAGTGAACAACGTAATTATCTTACCGAACACCTTAATGTTAATTTTGAATTGTTTGAAGCACGTGTACAAATCTTTTTGTAGCCATCGCTAGATTTTGCTGACAAGAAAAACAGATTTAGAGTTATCTCCCTTCCATCAATTTGCATTCGCAAAACATCGGTAATTTCCGTACATCATACGTGATTCAATGTTATTCCAGATAAAGAATTACTTCCACGATGTACAGAATGAGTCGCCATTGACAGCGGGGTACATTGAAATGTTACTCACTTGATGCGGGTACATTGAAATAATAGAAGAGCATTGCCAAGCGGGTACATTGAAAATAATAGAGGTAAGATCAGCCAATCAATATGAGGTATATGAACCTACATTGTTTGCTCATGAACCTACTTTGCTCCTGCACCAAGTTTCTCCATTGCTTTAGTGGATGGTCTGAGGTGGCGGTCGCTAGCCTGACTTGATGTACGTCGGCCTGGGAAAAGAATCAACACTCATACAAGAGTAAGATTTGATGGGGATGCTGGATTAGAATTAAACATGACATCATATGATGATATAAGAGGCAATTAAACAGATTGGGTGGCTCAGTGACCTAGTTACACATGAGCCATCATACCCTAATGGCATGGATTGATGCTCACAATATCAATCCCTGGATTGTCTGGTGCAGGCCACCGTTGCATAGATTAAATACTGCTGGTGAAGTGTAATAAATCAAAATCTAAAGAGCTGAGTGTGGATTAACTGGCTACAATGTGTGACCTGGCTGACTGTGTGTTACTACTCTAGGTTTAACATATGTTATATTTGGGATTACACTTTTTCAGTAAAGTACAGATTCTAGTACTTTTTGTGGGTTGGCTAACTAAATTACTTTTTAAAGAACTGCGGACATCATGCATTTAGTTGCTATCTTGGGTGACCAATGGGACTATACACCAATGTGAAAAACCTGACATATGTTACATTTGACCACTTTCTAAAATGGCATTGTGTATTTCATATTCTAGGTTTGTTTGTTTGTCTGTCTGTTTGTTTGTTGTTTAACACTGCACTCAGCAATATTCCATCTACATTGCAGCAGTCTGAAAATATCGAGTCTGGACCAGACAATCCAATGATCAACATCATAAGCATCGATGTCAACCAAGTCAGTGAGCCTGACCACCCGATCCCATTAGTTGGCTCTTGCAACAAGCACGGGTTGCTGAAGACCAATTCTAACCCGGATATCCACGAGGCATTACTCTAGGTGTCAACGATATGTTATCCTGACCAAGACTTGATTATTGAACAGTGTATCGAATATGACTATTATAATGCTTATGTTGGATAACATTTACTTCTTTCCCTCAGCAACAAGATCCGATACCCAGGTGTGGAAATAACTTTAAATTTGCTAGTGTACTCTGGTACAGTGGCACATGTAAAATCACTTGCCCTGATAATTTTTCCACTATACCGGCCGTTTTCTTGTTGATTTTTAAAATAAACAACATAATTAATATTGGAAAGTCAACTGGACACCGGTACAGTGTGATATACAAATTTGCTTGCCCGACAGAAAAAAACACTGGACTTGGGCGTCGGGCAATGGGTTATTTCCACTCTTGATACCATATGTTTTAACTTGTTTATTTGTTTAAAGCCATTGTCAGCAATATTCATCTGTATGAAGGCGGTCTGTAAAAGAATAAAGTTTTGACAGGACTATTCGGTGAATGATGTTGGAAGCTACAATCCAATCACCAGGATACGATAACACAAGTCACTGAATAAAGCCATCTATATAGTGTCAGAATAGATCGTGTACGTACCGCTCTCCTGAGAATTGGGTCGACTGCCACTGCGTGTAGGTGGTCGTACTGTTATATCCTTGCTTCCTGTGTTCGGCCGGCTGGGATTGTTGCGTGATGGAGGCCTATCACCTCCCCCGTACTATACCAAGGGAGACAACCACATTTACATTGTCAGTGGATTCTAGATGTTCCAATGTGTTGTATGACATAAATGACAGTGAAACATCACAATACAATACTGAAATTTCACTATGAAAACTTTGTCTTAAATGCACAGCCTATACTAAAAGGATAATAGTTACAAACAAAGTAGAATAAGAGTTATATGGAACACAATCAAACTTACACTGGCGCATTTCCTACTTCCCAGTCACAAAACATTGTGAGACGTTTGTCAAACAAGTCTACAATAGGACAACTCTTAATTATGTTCTTGAAAGGCACATTTACTATCATTAAAGCCAATGCTAAAAACTGAACATACTTTGAGATGTAAATCAGTTGAGTCGAAAACACATAAAATCCAATAAAATTTATCAATGATTTGAGTTACTTATTCTCACATGACTAACAGTAACTTATGTGTATTATCACCTACACATTTTGATGAATAAGTATGTAAAATAAAAGAGATGTGGTGGTGGTGGTGGTGGAATTGGGTTTAACATCGTGCTTGAGAATATTTCGCTCATATGACGACGTGCATGCGTGTGTATGTGTATGTGCGGCTGCTTGTACTAGCCCAGACTGAAGCTGGTTTTATAGTGCTAGCCCACTGAGATACCATGCCGCAGTGAAGCAAGAATACCCCACTCAGACACATTATACTGACTCCGAGCCGACCAGTCCTTGTTGTACCCATTAATGCCGAGCGCCAGGCAGGGACCAACAAGTACCATATGTTAACGTCTTTTGGTATGACCCAGCCGGGGATCGAACCAGCGACCTTCCTCGACTCGGGCGGCTTAACCACTCACTACACCACTGCGCGGCGGTCAAAAAGAGATGTGCCTTACAGGGTTTGATGTTGTGTATGTTATTAATCACGAATAGACACAAGTACATTTATCAAGCTTAAGTCAATTGACCTTATTGTCATCATCTTCTAAAATGTCTTATAATTATAATGTTTATAAAAGTCTGACAAAGTCTCATTCTAGCCTATCATCACATCATGCCACTATCACACTCATGGGCTAATACACTCAGTGACTCACCGTGGTGCTGTGTTTTCTGCTGCTCGTCTCTGACTGGGGGTGGCTGGGCGTGTCAGGGGCTCGTGCATTGATACTCGGTCTGTATGCTGTAGGAGAGATGAGATAATGAGTCCCAGTACATAGTGCCTTGCAAAAGCAGCATGCTTGTCTATATAGCAACTCACCCTCTTCCTGCTAGAACAGTCTGGACTCCATGGCTTCTACCTGACTACATTGTACACCCAACTCACCCTCTTCCTGCTGGAGCTGTCTGCCTCACCCTGGTAGTCTACACACAACATGGACTCCATGGCTTCTACCTGACTACATTGTACACCCAACTCACCCTCTTCCTGCTGGAGCTGTCTGCCTCACCCTGGCCTCTCCAGCTGGAGCTGTCTGCCTCACCCTGGTAGTCTACACACAACATATACACCATGGCTTATACCAACACCTGACTCCATTGTATACCCTACATTGTACACCCAACTCACCCTCTTCCAGCTTGAGCTGTCCAACTCACCCTGGTAGTCTACACACAAGATCTTCCTGCTAGAAGACTGGATTCCATGGCTTCTACCTGACTACATTGTATACCCAACTCACCCTCTTCTTGCTGGAGCTGTCTGCCTCACCCTGGTAGTCTCGACACAACATGGACTCCCCGGCCAGTTCACCAGGCTGAGGTCTGATCATCTCCTCCTTGTCCAAATCAGCCTCTAAAGCGTCTTGGTCCTCCTGGAAGAATACGATGAATACGATTTGCATTTAGAAGCTGGTATGATGAAGACAAACAAATTTTATGGATTGACAACTCCTGTATTGCAATACAGGCCACCAATATATGTTATTAACGTCATGAATCTCCAGAGAACATTTTAAACAGCCTTCCACCGTTTATATTATTCCTCACCTCATCATCATCATCTTCTTCCTCATCATCAGACTCATACTCATCACCAGCTTCATCTGGAGCAAGAAACATCAACAAAATCTGAATCTTTTACTGGTCTGTAACACTCACTCCATCGCTATATGATGGTGTAAGTAACTGAGTCTGGACCACACAAGTCAGTGACTGATCTTATAAACAAACACCAACAAAGTTGGGGTAATATGACTCTCAATCAACCACACTATTGACCACAAATCTATTAAGTCAATGCTTATGCCAGCATAGAATCCTGGGGACCTATTCTAATCCAGAGTCCCTATAGGTATCAGAGTCATGTACATTAATACACTGCAACTCTAAACATGATAGGGGCGGTGGGGTAGTCTAGTGGTTAAAGCGTTGGCTCGTCACGCCAAAGACCCGGGTTCGATTCCCCACATGGGTACAATGTGTGAAGCCCATTTCTGGTGTTCCCCGCCGTGATGTTGCTGGAATATTGCTAAAAGCGGCGTAAAACCAAACTCAGTCAGTCTAAACATGATGGATCTCTTTTGTCTTGGATCCCATGGCTGCCAGGATCTGCTGGTCATTGGTCTGAATCCCAGATTTGCCCTGATTCTGATCCTTGCTTTTTCAAATTGCATTTTTGAAAGGCAGGGCCGTAGTTGACTTTTCTTAATCCACTATCCACGTTAAAAGAGTGTTATATCAATACTTTGATGTACAAAAAATAATCTGTGAAAAAATACTAGAGAGCGTAGCCTCCTTAGCCTGGTGAGCCCCTCAGCGCTACATACGGCCCTGAAAGGGGACCAGTGATATGTATAGTATTAAAAAATATTTGTCTACATCGTCAAAAACTCAGTGAAGACTTACTTGAATTTAATTGTTTAATGATGAACTCTATCTGCCTGTTCATGTCTTGTTGCCCATCTTTTATAAAACATCGAAGAATTTCTTCCATATCCTGAAATAAAGTGTTTGGCATGAAGGTAGAGAAAGTGAGGTGAGGTGAAACTGGGTTTAACGTCGTGCTTGAGAATATTTCACTCATGTGACGACGTACATGCGTGTGTATGTGAATGTGCGGCTGCTTGTACTAGCCCAGACTTAAGCTGGTTTTATAGTGCTAGTCCACTGAGATACCATGCCACAGTGAAGCATGAATACCCCACTCAGACACATTATACTGACTCCGAGCCGACCAGTCCTTGTTGTACCCATTAATGCCGAGCGCCAGACCAACAAGTACCATATTTTAACATTTTTGGGTATGATGCGGTCCGGGATCGAACCCGCGACCTTCTGCTCTCCGGGCGGATGCTCTAACAACTACACCATGGAGACGTTCCTCCTTCAGTGAGTCTTCCGGAGCCAAACATTTGATATCTAATGTCATGGTGACATTAAAGATAAAACAATTCTATACAATATACTGACAGAAGAATATACTGACAAATTATATGGATTGACAATTTCTTATTGCAGCAGATGTGATGTCTCGGTGTAGATGCTAACACCGTTATCCTCGTGTGAACGTCTCCTCTATTGCAATAAGTTGTCAATCCGAGCGCCAGGCAGGCACCAACAAGTACCATATTTTAACGTCTTTTGGTATGACGCGGTCGGGGATCAAACCCACGACCTTCCGCTCTCCGGGCGGACGCTCTAACCACTACACCACGGAGGCGGTGAAGGTTGGGAAGCTATCTGAGCTTACATGCTAGTACTCAGGTTGATTGTTGTTTAATGCCACACTCAGCAATATTCCAGACAAATAATGTCCATCTGTAAATAATTCAGTCTATGTTAGAGCAATAGACTATCCATTGATTGACATCGTCGATTGAACCCGCCCAATATGTATATGATGACATGTGTCAATCAAGTTAGTGAACCTGACCACGTAATCCCATTAGTTGCCTCTTACAGCAAGCATAGATGGATGAGAGCAAAGTGTAGCCTGGATCTTCACTAATTAGAAATTCAAATATTTTAAAGTATTAAAATCAAGGAGATTCAAACCACTGATCTTAAATAAGCACTTTTCAAGATCAACTCAAGTACTTTTCAAAGTTTCTCTGAACCATGGCAGTGTAATGGGGTTCTACTCAGCCACATTTCACTGTAGCAACATAGTAGGGTTATCACCAGATGCTGGTCATGCTCCTTGTAATAACATACCATAGCTTTAGCTGCTTCTCTGATGGAGGGAATGGCCAGGATGCTGTACAAGGCACCATTCACATAGGGCAGTATCTGTAAGGAAACAAAGAGGATAACATTTCCACAGCTTAGATTTATGGTCACCTAGGAATTTCAGTAATATGGGTTCCCATTTGCACAGAATGTTGTAGAAGTTGTAACATGGCTTGTCAGCATGTTGTGAGGGAAATGAAAGTGAGGTTGGTTGAACTTTTAACAGTTGTCCAGTTATAACCTTGGATATAAGCACAACATGGGAGGAAAGCTCAAAGAAATGCTGGTCCATGATTTAACCATGAACCCTGTGCATGGCTCCAGTGCTGAAAAAGCTGGAATCATAGTCAGTAATTTGAATCCATGATTATAGATTTCTGTCATGTCTCAGCATGCAATACTTCACAGCAAATTGTGGCATCTGAGACAACTGGTACCCCCATAACATATCTTTAATTCATGATCAAAATAAGTGAGGTAATAAAACACAATGTGATACCCACAAGTTATAATGAATTCCCAGTTTGATGAGATTACAGTATAAAGTTACATGGGGAGGTCCATGGCAACTTGATTCATCAAACATAGAGAAAAGTTACTGTAAACAGGGTGCATCTGGATGTGTGTTGTCATATAAGGTAGGGATATCAGGTTCTGTTTCTTTATTTCTGCTCTACCAAGCCAGACAGTCCAGAGACTGATATCATAAGCAATCATCAACATCATCAAGGCATCTAACCATGGCACACTGAGCCAATAGTTATTAAGACTGGAATTTTCCTGGACCAATTCTGACCCAGAATCCCTAATGGCTTGTACTAGACAATCCTTATAACATGCAAGTAGGCAATACTTCAGCTATAAGACCTGAAAATAATAATCTAGGTGGTTGCACTATAAATTTTACCTCTGTGTTGTCATGGCCCAGGAGATCACTGAGAACTTTCAGAGTCTGGCGAGCATTTTTGGCACATCGCTTCTTTCCTACAAATGTAACAAGAAGACAAAGTCATCAATATCTCCTGCCCTCGCAAAATACTCTTTGTGAATATGTCTACTAGTTATGATTATGTCAAATGTTTTGGAGTGTAAAGTGGAAGGAGAGTATTGAAAGGTTTTAAGATCTGCTCCAGAGAGGAGCACTACCATCAAACCAGTTCAACTTGTTGCCATTGCAACAAGATGACATCCTTAGCCACAGCATAAGTCACGTTTCAATGGAAACACAAAAAAATTAAATTCATATCTGGGTCTAACCCCCAAAAGCCACATCTAGGGATCATGCTTGAAATGTGTACCAAGTTTGATGAAGCTAGCATGTGTAGTTGGGGAGATCTGCTCCGGACAAGATGACATCCTCATAGCCACAGCATGTCACGTTTCCATGGAAACAGCAAAAACTAAAATTCGTATCTGGGTCTAACCCCCAAAAGGCACATCTAGGCATCATGCTTGATATGTGTACCAAGTCGATGAAGCTAGCATGTATAGTTTAGGAGATCTGCTCCGGACAAGATGACATCCTCAGTCACAGCATAAGTCACGTTTCCATGGAAACCGCAAAAAATAAAATTCACATCTGGGTCTAACCCCCAAGAGGCACATCTAGGGATCATGGTTGACATGTGTACCAAGTTTAGTTAAGCTATCACGAATAGTTTAGGAGATATGCTTCGGACAAAGTGTGACGGACGGACGCACGGATGGACGGACGGAACTCGTTTCTATATCCCCCGCAACAATGAAGTTGCGGGGGATAATTAAACCCAACATTTTAGTCTCATTTTATGGTCTGAGTTTTTAAATTTGTTGTCTGATGCTGAACTCGGTTATATTCTAGTTATATGGTGGCTGCCTGTATAGGTCCGTCTCCTATATTCTCGTGGGTTTTCTATTCTCGCGGTAAACACGTTTTCTGCTGAATTCGCCGATGCGCGACACCGAGCGGTTGTTTACATCACCGTCTGTAACTAGGAAGTGGTCTGCAAGTGATCAAAATCTTGCAATGTCACGAATATTGGGGAGTTTATACCAACATGGACATATCATAACATTTTCCGCCCTTTCCGACAGGATTGCTCCTCCATACACTCCATAATGTTAATTCCTCGTTATACCACGAGAATGGGAGAAATCTCATTTCGTCAATGGCAGATGACATTGTTTATCACCGGGCTCACAAGTGGTAATTCACCTGATGGATCTAGCAGCTGATAGATGTAGATGTTAAAGAGAAGGCCCTTTCTTTAAAAACAACTATCATTCATACGATAAGAGTTGTTTGTGTTATTTTTTCAGCCGATATCCGTAAGTACCGCGAGAATAGGAAACGCCATTCTACATAATCTGTGTGAGACATTTCTGTAACTGATATAATGAGCCTTAATCCATGCTATCAGGGTACATGTCTGAGTCTGACCACCCGATCCTCAAAATCCCCTCTTGCAATCAGCATAGGTTGATTTGGATACATTTCTAGCTTGACCTAGCAGAACCTAGCAGCTCTGAGTAGTCTGCACCTGAATCACCATGGACATGATCAGCATAGGAAACCAGCAATCAAATCTCCCATTTAGTCCCCATAGTGCTGATCAGTATGTGAAACTGAGAAGCAATTCTGCCACGAATCCCTATAGGGCAAATCAGCATAGAAAAGTGGGAAATATTTCTAACATATATGACATGACAGCAGGGCCAATAAACAAACAAAACTGGGGACCAGTTCTACCATGAAATCCCAATGGGGCTGATCAGCATATACAACTGGGGATAAGTTCCCTCGTGGAATCCTTATGGGATTCGGCAAAAGAAACTGGGAATCATGTCCACCCAAGAGTCCCCATGAGGCAGGGTTATGATCCAAGGCCACAAAGCTACCATAGGATTCATATGATCTTAACTCTGATACGTTAACATTGACATCGACTGTCCTTGCACTACAATCACTAAGTGTCCCAATCCACAAAGCGTTCGTAAATTTACAACCAGTCGTAACTCTATACCTTATCATAAACTTATGAACAGTTTGGTGCTACCAATGTTTTGTGGATCGGGCCCCAGGCCATTAAGATTCTGTTTTTTAGCAATATTTTGCAAACAGTTTTCACTGAGGTAACATATCCTTTGAGAGCAAGATCCAATCAAACTAAAATAACCTAGAGCTATTGTATGATATTAATGTAAACAATATATACACAAAACTTAACCAAACGTACCAGAAGTTCGGAGACAGAGGTTCATGAGTAATGCCACAGAGTACTCCAGGGTGTAGTCTGATAGGGAGTCGTTGTCCTCCAGCACTCCAACCAGCCACTCGATCACTCCCCCTTGTCTATCATGGCCGACTGCAGGGCTGTTCCTCTAAATCCCAACGTCTGCAGAATCCTTCTCCTAAATAGCTCTAAAGTGCAGCAGTAGCAGTAGAGATCTCTTGGTTCTCTAAATCCTAAAAGTAGAGCAGTAGGTTCTCTAAATCTCTAAAAGCAGCAGAATCTCAAGGTTCTCTAAATCAGTAGGAATCTCTCAAGGTTCTCTAAATCTCTAAAGTAGAGCAGTAGAAGGTTCTCTAAATCTAGAGCAGTAGAATCTCAAGGTTCTCTAAATCTCTAAAGTAGAGCAGTAGAATCTCAAGGTTCTCTAAATCTCTAAAAAGAGCAGTAGAATCTCAAGTCTAAATCTCTAAATAGAGCTCAAGGTTCTCTAAATCTCTAAAGTAGAGCAGTAGAATCTCAAGGTTCTCTAAAAGTAGAGCAGTAGAATCTCAAGGTTTCTCTAAATCTCTAAAAGTAGAGCAGTAGAATCTCAGAGCAGTAGAATCTCAAGGTTCTCTAAATCTCTAAAGTAGAGCAGTAGAATCTCATGGTTCTCTAAATCTCTAAAGTAGAGCAGTAGCATCTCATGTTCAAATTAATGAGAGCAATATATTAATGAAACCAGTGACATTAAATGAAGGAGTTTTCCATGTATGAAGACTGTGGTTACCATGATTACCTGAGACTCAGTTTCTGCAAGGCTCCAAGAATCATTTCCCGGGTGAGAGAATCCTTGTCTTCACTACGCAGGTTGTCCATCAAGGACGGCATCAGCTCACTGTTTAACGCCAGGTATGACCGTCCTTAAATCACAACAATATCACCTTACAGACTTTCTGTCACATATTGCTGAAAGAATTCCTTATCATTCCATTTCCCTAAGGCATATGAGAGGTGATAGGGTAAAACTAAAACAAACAAAAGATCACTATTTCACTTGGCTACATCAGATTCGTAGTTTTGCATTTAACACATAATGGTCAATGGGGATGTTACCATCCATCAAATGTTTGGCATAGGTCTGTTGACATTCACTTATGGACTCCCATTTCACCATAACATTAAGTAGAACGAGTGTAATAGTACCAAAGCTTTTAAGTACAACCACATCAGCATTAACACCATTTTATCAATCAATATTGAAGGACCCTGAGATAACTCTGTTATAATTGGAAGATTCCTGGAATGCTCTGTTAGCCTTATGATTAAAGCATTCACTCCTCACACCAAAGACAACAGTTCCATTCCTCACATTGGTCCAATGTGCGAAGCCCATTTGACTGACTGACTGAGTTTGTTTTACGCTTTAGCAATATTCCAGCAACAAATGGGACACCAGAAATGGGCTTCACATTGTGCCCATGTGGGGAATCGAACCATCTGTTATAACCACTAGGCTACCCCACCGCCCCTCTCCCCTGCCATGATATTGATGGAATATATTTCAAAATGGTATAAAACTCAAACTCACTCACTCACTCTGTTATAACTGGGATATTCCTACAATGATAGAAGTACTCCAACTCACCCACTGACAGAGAAGCAAAGGCATTGAAGAGTCGCGCTGTGTACTGCTTCACACTCTCATTATCCGACGTCAACATGTCCTCAATAGCTTGCTGGAACAAACATGATAATATCATCAGTGCAGTTCTACATGTGTCTATAGGAGGAAGGCATTAGAAGATTGTGTTTATGTCATTCTGGCTATCTGTAACAAACAAAAACACCTTAAACCAATTATAGGAGTTACAGTTGATTTCAGGTTTTATTCTGGAAATCATAAGTCTGATTCGGAAAACATATCGATAGCTGACGGACAGAAGACCATTAAGCCTAAGACCATACCAGGAAATCTGCTGACTATGTCTACTCTTTAACGTTTAATGAAAAAATGATGAACAATGTTGTATACACAAAGACATTTTCACTTTTAGCAAGTAACATCTTGTTTTATTGGATCATAACTCCACTTGTTTGTGTTCGCCACTTTCATATTGCTAGAACACTGCATTAAACTTCACTCTCATGATAACCACTTCATCATAATGTTAGATCACTCTCTCATGATAACCACTTCATCATAATGTTAGATCATGACTTATCATAATGTTTGTATGGATTTGTTGACGCTTTTCGGTGTATGTAATAAGACAAAAATCCAGCAAGACATCAGGGCTGGTAACTTCAAAATGTTACCAGCCCAAAATGAATTTAACCAGACCAAATATGGTGAATTTACTCAGATGTATGGAACATCTAAAAACAATTACCAGACCATCGGGCTGGCTAGCTGTAAATTTAGACCGTCCGTCAGAAATCGAGACTGTCTCGGGCGGTCGGACGGGCTTTATTTCATACACTGCGCTTTTTCTGAAAACTGATCATGACGAGAAGACGAAAGAAGGTTGGTGGTTCGGCTTATGTATTGAACATACCATTTTGATACTGATTTTAAGGGTCAAGTTAGGGCTTATCTATGAGATTGGCTTATTTGCAGTGATATAAAGTAATGTATGACCTTATATGACCTAATAACAGTACATCCTAACTCAATATATTAGATTATACTCACCCTGTATGGCCCTTCTTTAGCACATCCTAACAAGTCATGTTGTATGTAGGCTGACATGATCACATCCCTCTGGTCCACACGAGAACGGGTTAACCTCTGCAAGAAGATGCAGACAATGGATTACAAGAGGTGAGGTGAGGTGAAATTGGGTTTAACGTTGTGCTTGAGAATATTTCGCTCATTTGACGACGTGCATGCGTGTGTATGTGTAGGTGCGGCTGCTTGTACTAGTCAAGACTGAAGCTGGTTTTATAGTGCTAGCCCACTGAGATACCATGTCGCATTAAAGCATGAATACCCCACTCAGACACATTATACTGATTCCCGAGCCGACCAGTCCTTGATGTACCCATTAAAGCCGAGTGCCAGGCAGGGACCAACAAGTACCATATTTTAACGTCTTTTGGTATGACGCGGTCGGGGATCGAACCCGCGACCTTCTGCTCTCCGGGCGGACGCTCTAACCACTACACCATGGAGGCGGTCTGGATTACAGCTCATGGAGTAGCACTGAGAGAAACAGACACTGATGTTCAAAGTGTCACTTGTTTGTGTCGTATGCAGAGGCTTCAATAAAAAAGCTGTGTTTTAAAAATAAGCACCTGTGTCCATGCATTTGTGCATGCTCAAGGCGCTAACACATTATTACCCAGATAACCCAAGCTGCCTTTGAGGTGCTTGAATGTTACCAGTCATGACTTATCCCACCGGGTACCCATTCACTGCTGGGTGAACAGAGGCAATTTATTCTGTAATTAGGTACACAACTAGTAAGACGCAGAAAAAAACACGAAATGTAAGTTGTAAATACTATTATCTTGTATAATTTGTAATGGGTTTTCAGATCTTGAGTATCACATGAAAAATTGTAAACCAGGCCACTAACATGTTAAAGATAACTTCATCTTTAACACAAACCATCATCTGAGTATTTACATGTACTTGTTACATGACATGCCTTGTTACAGCATGAGTAAATATGCTGCCTAAAAGCATGGTGTCCGAAAACATATGATCCGATGCTTACAACTGTAAGCTACATTGACATTTGCACAAAAATTGACTTGCAGAGAAATGATATCCTTTTTCTCCTCAAATGGTTTCTGTATCACTGCTCAAAATCTCATATTCAACCCCAAATCTACAACAAACTTTGAGCAACACCTGTTCCCAATTTACATCAATACAGCTGGAAGAAATGGTATGGCTTTGTAGAGCTACATTAATGCCTTGAACCCAACATCACAACAAATCTGAGTATAAGAAACTATGAATTGTAAAAAAAAGTCCCAATTCAAATAAAGATTCTTTTCTTAGTTTGCAAGAGCCACTTTGTCTGGAATCCAAGTTATATCCCCTGTTCGACTGACCCATCGGAGAGCTGCATGCCTGGTCAAGAAAAACAGAGGGCCTTCTTCCTGTCAGAGCCCTCCACCAGGTCCTTCTTCAGACTACTTAATTGTACTGGTGGTGGTGGTAGTCCAGGCTGGCGCTCATGTCTCGGCATCTGCGGCTGCATGCCTGGAATCAAGAAAAACAGAAACCTACATCAGCTGTAAAAACAAACAGGAATCCTAACTGTTTGATTGCTAACTTTCCCAAATGTGTTCTAGTCCTCTAGTCCGAGACTACTTAATTGTACTGAGGACAAATACATTCGATGATAAGTCTTCACTGACTAGTAGGTTTTGATGGCGATGAATCTGAACCAGGTTTGTGACCAGGGGCTTCTTTCACGAAGCAACCTTTACTAAGGTTAACCTTAACTCCCATTCTTTAACATTGCACTAAGGTTACCTTAGTGACTTACGATCACCTTAGTGCTTTGTGAAAGGAGGCCCAGGTCTCTAAGTTACAAACATTTTAATGTCATTTAAGGAGTGAGTGAGTGAGTATGGTTTTACCCCGCTTTTAGCAATATTCCAGCAATGTGAAAAGAAATTGGGCCACAGGTCTCTAAGTCTTACAAACATTTTTATCTCATTGAAGGAGGACTGGCTAAACACTGAGGATTATCCTCTGCACTTGTCTAAAATGAACCCATCCAAAATTTCCAATGAATATTTTGCTAAAAGAGGTAGTTCTCCCTTCCCCCACTCCCTCTGCATTAGTGTCCTACTTACTTTGCTGGAATAACAGAAGCTCTCAGTGCCTCGCCCGCAGTCCCTGGCCTGACGAGGTCTACCGAGGTCCTCATGTGTGCGCTAAACAGTCGGGTACACAGCTGCTGGAGGTACTCAGGGGTGATCTGAAACATACACAGCCATGACAGGGGACACCAAGCTGTACCTAGGGACATCATTCTGTCGTGGGGGAGGGGACGTAAGTTTGTAGTCAGGGACACAACTCTACATGTTGTGTGACATCTCTATGATAGCCACGATGTGACAAACCACATGAATCTGTAATAGGGGAGGGGGAATACAATGTAGTAAGGGCCATAACTCTGTACATTTAGTGGAACACATCTCTGTAGTGAATGACACAATAATGTGCCTAGGGAGCCACAAAAGAACACAACTCTTATTGGGCCCCTAAAAATATAAAACCAACCAACCAAAAGATCCTTCCTATCAAGTGACAATCAATCTTCACTACTCTCGTGGTATCACTGCCACAGATGTGCAGGCAGAACTTACAAACAAATAGAATAATTCAGCAAGGGGAAGTCATCACTTGTTTGTAACATGGAGGTCAGTTGGTTACGAGTTTAACAGGGTGTGTATGAGAGCTGTGAGTTGTGGCAGCGACAGTATAGAGAGCTCAGCAGATCGTGATCATTGTGAGGATGTAGGGTCAAGGTTGAGTTAAGTCATGTGGCTAATCTTTTGACTTAATTGGTGACACATTTTGCATTCAAAATCACTTAACAGAATAGCACCTGAAAACCCCGTCTTCTGTCAAAAGTTAAAATTGCCGCGTTTTGGTGCTGAAGGTGTTTACAATCACACAAAGATGACGTTTTGGAAAGAAATAGTATATTTGTATTGTTTTTGCAGCATCTCCATGAGTCCAATATTCTCAAAATCATCTATGCGTTTCTTTGTTTGTAAAGTGTATAATTATTTAAGGCCTTTTCTCATGGTCAAACACGCAGTCAAACTGTCTTGGCTACTACAATATACAATCGATTTGATACGTCATTCAATTTTAATGCGATTAATTTGAGTTAAATAGATGTCCAATGACTTGAATGTGGTGTTTCTTATCAGTCACTATCAGTGTCAATGTCTGGATCGCTGAACTGAATAGTGAAGACATCTTCACAAGAGTCAGCCATTGGGCATGTTGTACACATTTCAGTGCATGAGGGTCTGTTCTTGTGACATACAGAGAGGCTGGTAGAACATCTTGTTACAGTGCAGCCACATTTCACCAGTTGAATGATTGCAGGGGCTGGAGGAACTGTTGCGGTGACTGGTTTGAAACCGTCCAGCCATACTTTTCTGGGGAAGGAAGTTTAGTGTTGACACAGATGGCATTTTCCCAGATATATATTCTTGGAAATGCGATCTCAGCATGTCTAAATTAGTTTCAGTGGTGCAGAGGTTGGTGGAAGATTTTCTGCCTGTACTTGTTTCCTTGTGAACAACCACCAGCGTGCTTTGGAAATAATATACCCAATATATAATACACTTGAGGAACAGAGTATCTGTCTCTGTCAGTTGTGCAACTGGACAATCAGATTCCATATCGACATCTGCATGTGTAATTTTGTTGACAGAAATACATCATAAAAAAAGATTTCTCCCCACATGTATTTGATCTTTTTTTTTCAAAGGTTATAACCATTTTAGAATGATCCTGAAATGAAAACACTTAACACTTCGAAATAAGTATATATTTCAAGGGATTTAATTGAGAGAGTGTGAAGCAGAAAATAGAGTTTTCTCCCCATCATTTCATTATATTCTTATCTATTTTCAAAGAACTCTGCTTTTAGAAGAAAAGATTTAAACGTATTAATAAAAAATTGATAAATCATAATCTGATATTGACCAGCTACATTTTAAAATAAGGACTGCTCCCTTGCTGACTGTCTCACCAAACAGAAATAAACATCTCTTTTTAGTTTCATACATAACTGTTCTTTCACTTTTATTAATAATTTGCATTACACTGATTTTATAAACTGAAGCAACCGCATATTTACAAAATGCACAAAACCTATATCTGCTTAAATTCGTCTGCTAGCTGCCATTTTGAGAGAGAGGAAGTGTTCATAATTTTTTTTTTCTTGTTTGAAAAAAATATTATGGGGTTTTCTTTTAATAAAAAAAATCCATGAAATAGAGAGAAACACACTTGGATAAAGTTAATAACCTCAAACTTTAAATATTCAACTCTCCGATTATGACCTTCTGACCTTTTAGCATTGTTACCTTTTCACAACCATTTTGTACAGTTCTCAAAAGTACTATTTGCACCATATTTGGCTTGGAACCAAACTTTTTATTAAACTAGCATGTCTGATGAATATAAAAAACACAATGTCTTGCTTTCATCACAAAACTTCCAGGGACTTGAATACTGTACCCATCCTACCACACTATCATGACAAACTGACAATTTTGACTCAAACCACATCAGTAATCACATCAACCCATTGCAGAGAGGCATCCTTCAACACTAGGTTAGTAATGTTTAGTAATTAAGTCACATCGCTACATGAATATAGTGTTATAATATATGGAGTGTCATGTCCATGACAACACAATCTAGTCTAACTGCAATACTGGAACTCGATTAAATTTGAATATTCATTTCATTTGAAATCAGCACTTCCTTGATAGAGGTTGATCTGTGATTGAATTGATACAAAAATATCATTCATGTCGCAAAGTGAAAAAAAACCCCTGAGACTCATGCATAAAATATGTACCAGTACAATATATATGTACAGGTTGACATATGCTGTCATAAAGTAATTTCAACATGTACTGAAGGCATAATTCACAAAGAGGTGCCTGAAATAAAAACAGATATACTGATATACTGCAGCACTGTAAGATCTGCTTAGATGGATGTTACTCTTGAGGTTTAGCAGTAGCAAATATTAAGAACAGAACTTGGAACAAACCAAGCTCGGGATATCCTTTGATAGAAGTTGGTGAGTTCACCACTGCCTCCAACAGTATTTCAGTTATGTCACATCTCGGACATTTACCACTTTGGTGAAGGCCTTGAGTGTGGAGGAAGTCAAGACACACAATAAGGGGGAATCGGGGATTCCTAGGTGGAGGTTCGGGTTCTTGAACATGGGTGTGATGGTTTGAAAGTGTGGTGAGCCTGGTGGTGTGGTGGTGTGATGGAGATGTGCTGAGGTGTGTGATGTGTGGTGTGGTGTGGTGTGGTGTGGTGTGGTGTGGTGTGATGTGGTGTGGTGTGGTGTGGTGTGGTGTGGTGTGGTGTGATGTGGTGTGGTGTGGTGTGGTGTGGTGTGGTGTGGTGTGGTGTGGTGTGGTGTGGCATGGTGATGTGTTGTGTGATGATGTGATGGTGATCTGGTGTGGCATGGTGATGTGATGTGGTGTGGCATGGTGTGGCATGATGTGTTGTGTGGTGATGTGATGGTGATGTGGTGTGGCATGGTGATGTGGCGTGGCATGACGTGACGTGACGTGTGTGGTGTGGCATGGTGATGTGTTGTGTTGTGTTGTGTGGTGTGATGTGTAGTGGTGATGTGTTGTGTTGTGTGGTGTGGCATGGTGTGATGTGATGTGGTGTGGCATGGTGATGTGTTGTGTTGTGGTATGGTATGGTGTGGTGTGATGTGGCATAATGATGTGGTGTGGTGGTGTGTGATGTGTTGTTGTGGTGATGTGTTGTGTGGTGATGTGGTGTGGTGTGGTGTGGTGTGGTGTGGTGATGTATGGTGATGTGTTGTGAATGTAGTGGCATGGTGATGTCTTTGTGTGGTGATGTGGCATGGGTGATGTGTGGTGTGGTGATGTGTGGTGTTTAAGAAAAGGCATGCTGATTCTTTGTACATGGGTGTGTTGGTGTGGTGTGCATGGTAATATGGTGGCAGTGTGCTGCGGTGTGTGGTGTGTTGGTGTGGTGTGCATGGTAATATGGTGGCAGTGTGCTGCAGTGTGTGGTGTGTTGTGTTGTGCATGGTGTGCATGGAAATATGGTGGCAGTGTGCTGCAGTGTGTGAGTGTCGTGGTGTGGTGTGCATGGTAATATGGTGCAGTGTGTGGTGTGGTGTGTTGTGTGTGCATGGTAATATGGTGGCAGTGTGCTGCAGTGTGTGGTGTGTTGTGTGTGTGCATGGTAATATGGTGGCAGTGTGCTGCAGTGTGTGGTGTGTTGGTGTGGTGTGCATGGTAATATGGTGGTGTGCATGGTAATATGGTGGCAGTGTGCTGCATGGTGTGTGGTGTGTGGTGTGGTGTGCATGGTGGTAATATGGTGGTAGTGTGCTGCAGTGTGTGGTGTGTTGGCGTGGTGCTTATGGTAATATGGTGGTGGTGTGCGCAGTGTGTGGTGTGTTGTTGTGTGTGCATGGTAATATGGTGGCAGTGTGCTGCAGTGTGTGGTGTGTGTGGTGTGCATGGTAACATGGTAATATGGTGGTGCTGCAGTGTGTGGTGTGTTGGTGTGGTGTGCATGGTAATATGGTGGCAGTGTGTGCAGTGTGTGGTGTGTTGTGGTGTGCTGGTAATATGGTGCTGCAGTGGTGCTGCAGTGTAGTGTGTGTGTGGTGTGTTGGTGTGGTGTGCATGGTAATATGGTGGCAGTATGCTGCTGCAGTGTGGTGTGGTGGTGTGGTGTGCATGGTAATATGTGGCAGTGTGCTGCAGTGTGTGGTGTGTTGGTGTGGTGTGTTATGTGGTAATATGGTGGCAGTGGTGCAGTATGCAGTGTGTGGTGTGGTGGTGTGGTGTGCATGGTAATATGGTGGTAGTGTGCTGCAGTGTGTGGTGTGTGGTGTGGTGCATGGTAATATGGTGGCAGTGTGCTGCAGTGTGTGGTGGTGTGGTGTGCATGGTGGTGGTGTGCATGGTAATATGGTGGCAGTGTGCTGCAGTGTGTGGTGTGTTGGTGTGGTGTGCATGGTAATATGGTGGCAGTGTGCTGCAGTGTGTGGTGTGGTGGTGTGGTTTGCATGGTAATATGGTGGCAGTGTGCTGCAGTGTGGCATGGCGAGGCATGGTGTTATGCAGTTTTGATGTGAACAGGAGAGGTGATTCTTGTACATGGGTTTGTTGTGTTGTGGTATGGGGGTGTGATGTAGTGTGATGT